TTGACATACTCTGAGGCAAACTTTTGGTTAAAGATCTACAGACGCAATAAATGCTCTTTCATTATTACGTTTTCCGTCATGTGATCGCGTTATAGATGGCTTTTTACCTAGTCTCAAAACGTTTAACTTATATGTTTTGTGATGTTTCATAAGGTAAAGCTGGGAATAACTACGCTTTTGAAAAAGAGCAGAAAGCCATAAGGATTCAGATTTATTCAAGTTTTCTATAGGGATGCTTTTACTTAAAATTATGAAGTGTTATGATATGCTTTCATAGATATAATCAGTGAAATTCATGCAAGATATGAGTGTATACTAATGTTTTGAATTGACTCAACAAATGCTGTGTTCTTTCACAGCCATTAAAAAAGCTATTAAAGTTGCTCATTCTGCGACTGATTAAAAATGTTTTTACAATGGTCATAGTATGCGCTGACACAGTGTACCAGCGAATTTACCTCAAAAGCTGCTGATCAGTCGTCACAATGAATTTAAGGAATTTTGGACTAGATGAATATTATTCGAAACTTTTGACGATAATCTGAGTCCGAATCGGTCCAAGGTCTCGATATTGCAATAAAAAGTCACTGGCCAGTATGAATCGATCGTTCTTGTCTATCTGATAATCCATCTTTTTATCATGAATATGATATGTTTCGATGACAGAAATAGTGTGAGCAGTCAAAACATAAAACCCATATCAATTTTGCCCGACAAACCTAAACTAAATATTATATGAGCATTTTTGAGCTACGATAACTTCAGCTTTGAAAGATGAAGACTGTTTCATGTTCATCTAATGTCAGTCACAAATTTTAGAATAATGCTTTAACTAGTCATGTCGTAGTTGCTTACTAGTAATTCATTGCCTTTTGAACACAGAAAGCCTTTCTCATGCTCCCTTTATGTTTACTTATATGTCTTAGGTAATATTTTGTCTTGCGGTCGAAAGTGATATATTATCATATGATGATGACATAAATTCTGTCATTGTTGAAGTGATTTTCACAGACATTTTGTGTATCCCAGAGTAAGTAACTGTGTTTTATATACTTGTTTGAAGAGTTCGGTATAATACTAATTGCAAATTTACTAACGATCGTTTGACTGTCGTAGAAGGAGTCGTTATAGGGATAACACAAGTTCATTTATTCACCAAAGCAGTTCTTTATTCATGTTCAGATCACTTGTGTCCAGGAAATGGCACCTATTCTATCCAACATATAACAGATATCTATACACGTTTAAAAAGGTAAGGTGTTTTAGAATTGTAACACATTATTGAGATTTCGGTGCAAATTTTGCAACACTGAACTGAGAGAAGAAGTAGAAAAGAGATTGTTCTCGGGTACGTTTATAGGTTTAGAGAATACTTGCCACGAAATCTTATACTAATTATCATGCAAAATGAAATATTTTTCCCATCAATTAATGATTCTAAATATTTCCATCGATATGATTTCGATTTTGATTTTTCCATATTCTTTCATAATATATTGAGCTTACTTTCTGTTTTATCAAGTTAACTTTCTCATCTTGTGAATTACAAAATATCTAATTATGCAAGGTGCGCTTGAAGCATCTAAAACTTCGTAAATCTTTGCAAATAACTACATATATACCATGATTGCACTTTGAATTATAGGCTTTATAAAAGAGGGCATATTAAAAGGTTCAGATCAGATGACTAAGTCCAGTAAAAGGACTAGCTCTATTGCGATATAAAATATGTTTATTTAATTATCTGTATTTTGGTTTATTGGACATACAAATGTTCAAAAGGACTTGACGGTATCAAGGTATTCGTCTTCATAGATCCTAACCAACGTTTGTGTCTACAGCTAAGCCAAAAAGAGCACTTTGCTAACGAAAACGGTAATGATGCCAAAGAATTTCTAATAGTCTAAGATTTTATTAGATCTGAGATTGAGGAATATAACTCCCCAAAACAGACTAATTAAACAAGACACATATTGGTTTCTTAATTTTGTGAAGCTGATGCTAAAAATGACTCATAAAACGCAGGTAGAAACGAGGATAAATAAGCTTTTAAAAAGAAGACCCCAAAAACATTGCGGAGTAAATCACAGATACATGTGGAATGTTCAATCTAATTTTTATAGTTATATGAAATGGTAGTTAAATAACAGAAATGAGGCTGTTTCACAGTTAGCGTACATACCCCATGAATAAGTTAGCATGTGTCGTTCATTAAATTTTTAAATATTTTAAGTATAAACTTGACTATATTGAGTGAAGTGTCAAATACGTAAAAACTGACGGCATAAAAAATATTGAATTAGTTTAAAATTATCTGTAATTCAAGCATAAGTTAAAGATTCCATTTGGTACACTTTGCATTGTCGTAATTACTAAAATAGTTATGAAGAAAGAATGAATAACGTCGTGAACTCAAAAAACTCTTTCCAAAACTAAACCTTCATAGTAATCATTAAGCAACTCGTTAAAATTGTGCATGTGATTGCAAAATGCAAAAAGATCTAGAATTTTAGAAATATTTGTAGAGAGGTTTGTCAAGTAAAAATGTTTGACTTTTACCACAGCTTTGAGTTCCGCTTATAAACATGATTTCAGTGAGAGCAGATAGTAAATGGTGGTTTATATAAAAGAGCTAGTTAACAATACGTTTCATAACCTGGAGCTGAAATTTTAGGAAGAGAATGACAAAATCATATTTGTTCTAATACTATGAAGCTTAGTTTTTACATTGATACTTTAAAAATTTCAGTTTGTGTTTGCGAACACGTTTCAACGAACCATTCCAATACTAGCTGGTATTTATCATTAGTCCTTATCAACAGTTTTCATGCTCGTATGAAGTTATTTCTACTAGGTCTAAATAGTTAACTAGTAATCATACTGGGGCTTTAGGTGTAATATTGAATGATACTAGTATTAGAAATAATTGCATCCTGATGAAATGAAAGGCTGAAATATCTTGATACATGGTAGTCAGATTAAGGAGGATTTTTAACTGAAATTAATGTTATTGTATGGCACAACACTAAACTATTCATTGAACTGCATATTTACAGCAAATATAGAAGTAAAATTATCATTGAATGTTCCATTATTAATGTTTAGAAAGAGTGGAATTTCTCTTACTACCAAAACAGGAAAATGGGTCAGAAATCATCACACTGAATAGAAGCATTAAATGCACAGTTTATGGTAAGTATTCTTTAATTTACAAATAGTACTAGTGATTGATATATTGAGTAATGTTAGACCTCGGTACTTTCCCAAAACGAGTGTAATCATAATATTTATTCCTTGAAAATTCATCGCTAATAATCGAATTCTTTAGAGTATGCATAATTAGATTCAGTCCTCCTAGAAGATAATAATACATGGCTACACTAATCACCTATATACTGTAAGAAGTAATATAGGTTCTGCTTAGTCAATGACTCCAAAAAGTTTCAAGAAAATCATAAACTTCATCAGTAACTTTCAAATCATAGGTCTGCCTATACAAGTATTATCGTAAAGAAGTTGGTGGGAAATACCTTCTACACAAATAATCATCTAATAATCGCTGAAAAGCGTGTTCGGCAGAACAAAGAGAAAAATATGGTAATCTATATAAACAGTTTGTTGAAGAAGTTAAAACTGTTTAATTATAGACAGAGAATAAAATATGTGATTTGATAGATACTTTATGGAAGACAACAATGATAAAATGAAAACAATGAGACATCGACAAGTATTAAGATTTAATATTTACAAGTTTAGATTAAAGTTGGTAGTCAAATGTCAGCAGATCTTGTTAAGAATATTTTCATAGAAATGATGTGTATACTTTACGGCGTTTACATGTCGATGAAATTTACAGATGCAGGATATGAATGAATATAAAACACTTCTCAGAGAAAAAGATTATTTTCATTATTACTTAAATTATATTAAAAGCTGCTTTAAAACCGTAAATTTATGTACATATTTTGTATTTTCTTTGTCATTCTAGATCGATATTGTTCTAAAATATTTTGCGACTAAATCTAATTTGTTTTTTTCACTCCCACTCTTCAGCCATAAAACTGGAATAATTTTTCTTACTTTAGCACTAAAATTATTTCTGGGATCTTTATTAGCCCTTATATTTTTATAATGTAAATTGTTGAGCTTTTGATGTAATAAAGTGTTTTTTAATTGCCAAAGTAAATGCAAAGAGTTCATAAGGACGGAGATGAGATGATCAAAAAGTTATGGGGTTACTGAATTAGCTATCTACATATGACTTATGAGACAAATAAGCCAATTAATATTGATTGTACAGCTGAATCTAAAAATAGACCTTAATAATGACTAGTGATTAAAGCTAATTGAAAATAAGTGAATCTTTGTTCTGTTAAACTTCCCATAAATGTTGACTATATTCTGTTTAGAGAATTTTAAACAAATCTGATGGATATCAAATTTTTTGTTTACATTGTTTAAATAAAACATCATCCGCCTACTTTTCGACTATAAAAAAGTTGACCTCACCAGGTAATGAATGTTACAAAGAGGAAAGAGAACTCTCCACTAAAGTGATCTTTCTCGTTTTGATGTTAATGCGTCTGCTCTTAAAAATATGACATCTGTTAATACAAAAAAAAATTTTTCGTTCTTAAATTAGTTCAAAAAGGCTACTATCACTTCTTATAGAAACTGGTGTAGGAGAAATGCGGCTGAAAGACGAATTATAAAACAAGTAGAACAAATTAATCTTAGTATCACACTGTATAATATACTAAGTTTGCAGTATTTCCTAATTGATTAATAATGTAGAAATTAAATAAAGATCATGTTTTATTATAGGTAAATTAATTTCCAAACTCACATTCGGAAGAAGATGCTTCATTTCTGGTGTTCCTTATTTAAAAAAAGCTGGTCATTCATACCAATGGCAGTTCAAGGTACAACTGATGGTACTAAAATTAAATTATTGCTCTTTATCTCAGGTTCATGGAATTGAAGATTTATTTGTTAGTTTTATGGATCCTTGGAAATGTGCACTCAGTACAGTTATTGAAAATTTACCTGACTGTAAGAATATAAAAGAAATTAGTTGCTTATTTTTTATTAACTTCATTTATGATATTACGGTTTTTTCCTGAATGATAAATTAGCAGTTATTAATGATAACTGCTTGTACTAAAACATTTACATTAAAATATTCAATGGTATTATCAAAGACGTACATTAACTGTTATGGTTTTACATTAGCCAATACGCAGGCGACATTTGGTTGATCAGTAAGCGACAAGGACGAGCTGACTTGAACTCTATGCTTAAAAGTAAAGTCAGCAACAACTTGCCAGACCAAAGAGGAAGAATAGAAACCAGTGATAACTAGTCCAGAATTCGTAACCATATTTCAAACATTCCTTTATATACCCACTACCAGATCACATCGCACAAATAAATATATATGAATGAGCCGAAAGTGGCTGCAAGTAGGCGAGACTAAGAATAATGTACTAGCAACAAATCAAGAATAATAAATAATACAACTACAGTTAATAAGTTATTCAAGAGCTCAGGATACAGAGAGTATATATAAATGATAATATAGTTACAATTAGACTAAATACAACAATAACCCATAAACTAGGTCCTTAAGTTAAAATTTACTTTAGTCTTCTCCCTAATATAACCTTAACATAATAAAAACCGGAGGTTATCTACAAATGGACCAACCAAGTAACAGTTCAGAAAGTTGGTAATCTCAGCTATCAGTAATAGTAATTGTAATCGAAGGAAAAATTATGCTGAGTAAATTATAAGATGATATAAATATTGCTAGAAAAAACAATAATCATTGGGAAGCTGGCAAGAGTTGAGTACGTCAGTATTCCAATTTTTAGTAATACTACTCTCCGTTTTCAGTACATAGGAATTGTTATGTGAATGGTCAAAATTAAGCTTATAATTTCCAGCTTCAAGGAATCAACACTTTTCTCTTCATAGTTCATTTCATATAACACAGTGAACTAATATTTCGAGACATGATTATTTATTCACTAGTCAGATCATAATTTGTATCGTCTGCAGCACATGCAACTTATTCAAAAATACAAAAAGGGGAATTGATTGATTTCCTATATGCAAGATTTTATGGTTTTAAGAATATAAGATGGAAAGTCGAGTATTTTAATGACAATAACATTAGTCATGCAAACAAAAGCTTCCTGAATTGTTCTTTCAACAAAAATGATTTTCTTGATAATCACTGTAGTTTTGCAAAATAGTGGGAAGTCCAATAAAATGTCTTCAAACAAAATTTGAGAAAAACCTACTGGATCAATAACAAATGAAAACTTTACATACAACACATGTTTATGGCTACATAGAAAATTGTTGTCGCTCCCGTAAAACGTGTGATTATGATATAAGATTTTAGTTATTTAACACTTACGTTTGTGATAGTTCAAATTATGAGGATGGTTTGACAGTCATTTGGAATTGTTTGGCTGGCATCTTAAACATTTGTTCTTACTCTTAATTCTATCGTTTCAGATGTTCGTGCATATCAATTCGGCATTGCATTCACGTTCGCATTTATGTTCTTAGGTTAGATATCTCTAAAGTGATTTGGATATTCATTGTTATACAGATAATATTACAAAATCTGGCACTTTTTTCTTGTTAAAATGGCTGCTACTTTTACTTCTAGTGCAAAATGAATTCACAGAACCTGTGAGTAAATATTAATTTATTAATTTGAGTTTATTTCAAGCAACGTGAAAGAATTAATCTAAAAGTGATCGCTTTGACTCATTAAATTAATACTATACACGAAATAGCATTCAACAATTATCTACTGTGTGACAAGACAACGAAACAGGTATATGACTCCTAAATTTATTATTTAAAATGAGAGGAAATGATAGTCTAAGATCTCAACATAAATATGTGTTATTTGAGTTTCACGTTAAAAAAGATGACAATAATAAAATTAAAATTATAATGATAATTCAAAGATCACTGATGAAAATTCCATCAAAGTCTAATTTCACTTGTTGGCAGAGTAGAGTTATCAGTGATAAATTAAGACTGGTATCACTCTCCCGTGGATGTTAATTTGAGATAATTATTATGCATAGACTTTTAAAAGAATAAGCATTCGTCTTATCAATTGTAACAAATATAAGGTCGTGTGAATAGCAGGTTTATTTAGATACTACTACTGCGACCTAGTACGTACCGTCAGTGGATGATTCTTTTATATAAATGTAGAAAGTATAAGCTATTCAGCACCTATCAAAAGATAAGCTAATATAATCTTGAAATAAAATAAATTTTTAGTCAATGCTTTATCTATCATATATAGGATGAATAAGTAAAAAAGTTGTATCCCTCTTTCATACAAAGGGTTGAGTAGCAACAAGTGTCAAGAATTATAAACTATCAGTTTTTCTGAGTTCAGCACTTCAATAGGTTACAAGCTCTGTAAAAAGCTGAATCAACACAAACTAGCCGCTCGCAATGGTTCGGTCAAAAAAATTTAGAGCTGACTCAGTCAGTAAGATATAACGTAGAACTTCGTACGTACATCACTTCAAGTCGCCATACCACATTACCACAGAGGTGCAATTGCCAATTGAAATCGCATAGTAGTAGAGGTAGTTGAAGTGTCAGCAGTAATCAGAGAGAATAGGTTTCAAAAAAATGAGAAAATATAGGGCAGTGAAATAAATTTAAGGACACAAAAAGACAAAAGTGATAAGGAATTCAGTAAATTAGACTGCGAGAACACAAAGAACCGATGCATCTGTGCCATTGTAGACGACCTCGAGCCACGTCATTCGAGGTCTCTCACCATCGACTACTAACATCTCGCGGACACCAACTAAGTAGTACACATATACTAACGTGACTCAGTCCACCTGTTAGTGACTTCATGAATTTGCGCCATGTTTTAGTCTGGCCGCCCCTAGTTTTCATCCAGCCTACTTCTACACCGTAAAGTATAGCTCAACGAGGCAGTCGGTGGTTAGGCATTCGTAACACACATCCAAACCACCTCAACTGATGAAGTCTCAATACTTCATCTACTGATCTGTCATTCTTACCTAATACCCTTCTCCTAATAAGAACATTGGTTATTTGATTGTCCCACGATACACAACCAACGCTTCGAAGACATCTATAATCGAGCACTAGTAACCTACCAATATCTTCTATACTTACTGGGCATGTTTCGAAGCCATAACGTAGGACAGAGCGAACTGCCGCCCAGTAAACTCTTCCTTTAGTTAGCAGACGGATATCTCGCCTACTTGAGGATTAAAATCACTAACCACTATTATCAAGTCACAATATTTAACCTTTTCATAAAGGTTGGGAAGCTTTCCGTAAAAATAACCATTCACCTCATCCGAGCTGCAATCAGTGAGAATGTAGGAGAGACAACGGTGAGTGTCCCTATCTCTCCGACTACTAGCTGTCCCGTTTAGTCGGACAGCGCACAAGCGACTGTCTACTGGGATCCAGTCTAGGAGAGCTAGTTATGATCTCGGACTCAGTGCTATACCTACACCAGCGAGACCACGGGAAACAACAACAGAGCCTACAGATACACAAAACGTAAACCCAGTTAGTTATTTATCTTGACGAGGTGAGGTAAAATGAATGAATCTATAATGGTCTTGTATTCACGTTTCGGAGACGCAACACACATTGATGACAACGGATTCCAGAGTCCTAGCTAATGAAGCCTGGTGCCCCATTCATCACAACGCTCGAACAATTAAAGCTCCAATATGTAATTTGGAACGAGGTTTCAGGAGACCAGAAATAATGTTTCGTGAACTCGAAGCGTTTGAATTAGCAGTACGCGGTGATAAAGGGATGTGAGAAGGGTAAGTATTGGAGATAAGAGAGATGTTAGGGAGTGTAGGAAGGATTGGATTGTGACCGATTCGGTCTCGTGTGCTGTTACGAGTATGAGGGTGGATGTCACTACCGGCTGCCCATACCGTGGAACTCTGTTTCTTGAGGAACCTGAAAAGGAAATTGATTTGGCGTTAGTCTTGGTGACCTAGAAATATGATATCAGCGCTTAAGGGACAACTGCTTCAGGACGACTACGTAAGCCTGTTTGTGGGAAGCTTTTAAATCGTTAGCCCCAATCTTCAAAAGCCTTACCGCCTGAGACGGAAATCTGTGGGGTAAGGTGAGGTGTGACATTTTTATGGTCGACCTTTTCTAACCCTCCCTTCTTTGTGAGAAGGCAGCGCCCTTGCAGATGCTGGTTGTCCGAGGGAAACACCTTACTGCCGTCACAGCTATCTGCAGTCAGCAGTACGACTTCGCCCTCAGACCTTGAGTAGCTGCTTTTAATCTTATCGTTCTCCGAACAACCTGCCTGGCATGGCAGAACCTTCAGGAACATATGTTCCATCAAATATAGGTGAGGTGAGTTATCACGATAGGCAAGCACGACCACCACAACAAGGTAACAGCTATGGTTGGGAGTTAAAGCTGAGTGTTTGCACAGTCGAAAAATTTAGGACCCAATCTTCTGAGTAGGTTTCCAGCTATTAATTAGATGATCAGTTTAAGAGATTGATTCTAACCAGTAATATTCACTTTTACATAAGTCTGTTCCTAAGAGACTGGAAGAATAAATAATATCAAACACAAAATTGAGCAGTTCCAATTCGACGGAAGGTGTTTCCAATAAACCGAAAAACGCCTAACAGGGAGATATAATAAAACACATATAATCGTCGTGGTTTGTTGTTGATATTTGGATCACATATGATTTCAGTGACCACGCTGATTAATTACTCAGATGTTTTAATTTGGTCCACTCAAATATAAAATTAGTATCCAACCACGAAGTACAAAATAGAATGCACTTTTTGTGCTTAAGGATAGTAAGAGATGTTAGTGGCTTGATTTCAAATCCTGTCTACCGTAAAACACCTTTTAAATTACCCATTGAAAACTTGTTAGTAATTTCCTGAAGATGACAAAACTATTTTCTTCAAGTTTTTTCAAAAATGAACCGAAAATCGTTCGAAGAACCTTAATCAAGATTGGTAATACCATAAAGTCTATATAGGTTATAAATCAATTAACGAGGTGCTGCACTAAACCACTGTCTCACAAAAGATTGTTCGTAAAATGGTAATCCGAAGGGAATAATCTAAGTGCGCAGAATAAGCATCGATAAACGACTAGAAGCGCACTGATGTTTCCAGCTACCAACTTAGTAATTACATAAGGGACTCATAAAACGAACTAAAATAGTAAGTTTCTAAAAGGATCGCCGAGAACTTGATTGGCTTGAAACAGCCTAGTAGTCACAGAAAAAGATACTGAGTCCGAGTCATTGAGTAAATCCTGATGCTGCTTTCCAAGTGATAAGTATACAGAACGATGACAGACTACTATATTAGAAAATTAGCCATTATTTCTCGACTCTAGGACAAATTGTATGCAAAAATAAATCGTAGATCATGTGGCAGCTATCGAGTTACCGATATCCTTTTTTCACGTCTTTATAATAATTAAATGCTCGTTTCGGTTACTCGATCCTTATTTAATACTATTAACCTGTACGTTGTTCATTCTACTGGAATTTAATTCCTAATATAAGGTTTTATCATTTCAAGATTATTCAATAAAAGGTGTGTTCAAGTACCAACTTAAAAAATTCAACCATCTCCATTTCTTTATAACCTCTTTAATATTCATTATTATTATCACTACCATTATTGATTACTTTACCACTGATTTTTGGCACCAACTATCAATTTAATTGCTTTATCTATTTAAACTTTTGTTAATTCAGGACGGAAAAAATTCGTTTGCGCAGACTTCATGTAGACCACCAGCTCTGCTTTTGGTGGGGTCCTTGGGTGACAGCTTGTCCAATAACCTACTGAGAGCAGCGGGACAGTTTTCGAAACCATTTTGTGAACACAAGCCCGGTGGTGTTATACTTCCAACATCCTTGGAAGTAGACTTGAGTGGATCTAAGAAACCGAATTCTAAATGCCTAAGGAAAGCTATGAAAACATTGAATACTTCACAAGCAAAGTCTATAGAGCTGGATAAATTATGTACAAATGAAGAACATACAGTTTTGTGTAGGTTTCGAATTTGTATGTAGTCATACTAATTGGTGATTATTCAATTTTCAGCTGAAGCCTTAGATAGTATCTCTAACCGGTATCTAGTACTTGTTTTTTTTGTTACGTAAACCAGGTAGTGAAGGAATAACAAGTGATCATTTGTACAAATTCTCTGTCAACAAAGAAGACCTGTGACAGTCAGTATGCTTCTCTATAAGATTTTAGAGGTTGATCGTTTTATTATCAAGGGTTTCTCCGACAAAATACCGTCTAGAAATTGGAAATTTCTCATTACAAGCAAACGGGACCGCGAGAATATGCATTTATCCTTGATTACTCTATTAAGTGTATCTAGACTACCGTTTTATGAAGTAACAAAATAGATGACTTTGATAGCTTTGTAATTTTAGGACTAGACCTTTACTAAAGTAAACTTATTTATGATATAGTGCATTTTAATGGCGTTAGACAAGTAACTTATATTACAAGCTTCCGATTTCTAGATTCAGTGGAAAGATTGCAACGTTAAGTGATACACATACTGTTTGATTTTTTTTAACCTACCGACTAGGTGGAACCATAGAACTAGCTTCTGGAGGAATAGCTTATTTCCCGAATTTAGAGCTTTATAAAAAGAAAGAGATAACTAGTCTTGTTTACGGTAAGTCGGGCATTACGTAATATTTTCTAAAAATATTTCAACTTTATAATAACGATTATTTTTGTTCTTTGGATTGATTATACTGAAATTAGCATTAAAGAATTGCTTACATTGCTTTTACTAATTACATCGATATAGAATCCAACTTTGGGAAGCTTAGAGTACATATATACGTATTAATAAAGTACTTCAAGTAGTGTTTAGCCAACTAGTTATTAAAATCCCGCTAATTGTTAGATCATAATGTAACCATAAAAAAGTGGGGAGGGACCTAAAAACTATTTAACTAATTTCCAAGTTTTATGGTTATTTCAAAGCAGTTCATTCGACAAAAGTACACGAATACAAGCCAAAGGTCGTTACGATTAATTAAGCCAACAAAATACATTGAGTTCGCCACCACAACTTTTTAGATGTAATTTAGCTAAGGAATTTCTTTGTGAATTATTTATGTAAAAATGCTTCCACAAATTAACGGATTATATTTTGCTTTACATATACAATTGACGGTAGCTGACAGGAGAAGCCAGTTAGTATGGCGTAATATTTGATTATATTATCGAGATATGTGAACTGAATAATCGGTCTTCAAGCACTGGGAAATAGTATGAGTAAGCTAAGACCAGTTTGATGGAAATTCTTAGATGATGTAGTATAAGTGATCTTACTGATTGTTCAAGATGGCTCCCAAAACGAATGAAACAATAATCACAACTCATTGACGCCATAAATGCCAATTTCAAACTTTTCCATTAATTCAAACATTATTCGACCGTTCGTTGTGTAATATGTAGACTACGGCCTTACTATTATCACATATAGATAGTTGTTTGAATATTGCTAAGCATTGAAAAATTTTTACCTTTAATTTTTCGTTTAAAGTAGTTAGTTTTCAAACGCCTGTTTTTCTTCACTTTTTCTAAATTAGCTTTAGAGAATATGACAGTGGGTGATTCACACTCAAATTATGGAGTTGATTCATCATCTGTTCATAAGATCAGCGAGGAACTATCTTACCCAAACGAAACCACTATTTGGGCTACTGTTGAAGTTAATCCACTACATAGAAACAAAGCCAAAGATACAATCCTTAGACTTTCACAAAATTGTTTATCTGAAACAGATATCTTTATAGAAACAATAGGGAAAACGGACCAGGAATGTACCACATTACTACTTAGTGGAAATTTGAAAAGAATTATGCAGTGAGTAATGAACAAAAATATTCAGCTCTAGTTTTTTATGTAACTAACACGGAAATAATTTTTTCACAATAGTTTAAAGTGTAGAAGTTAGCATCATAAAAGCATACATAGATTGATTCTTGAGAAAGAAAACTGCTCTCAGATAGTTCAAAAAATGAGTTATCGAAAAGATAATCGACCATGCTCAGAGTCTCTGTTTATTGAATTAAGTTTCTACATTTAAGATTATCCAGTAATATACGTGATGGGGAAAATCACTATAAGACATATGATACTAATGAAACAGATATAGGGGAGTAAGATAACAATACGAACATATTGAATGAATGTTCCTCCTTCCTTTAAATCACTGACTGGTCATAATAACATTTTATGTCTAAATTTAAATGTATGCCACTAAATATTTGTGTGGATCAAGTCCATATTTATTTTTACTAATGATGATGGTCATAATATTCTGTAAACGTGTAGTTAAAACATTTCAAACGTCTTTTTCTTTAAATTTATCTGAAGCATGAATAACTAACTAGGATTACAAAAGTAACCCATTGATTCACTTTTTTTATTCATATCGATATATTTCAAAACATTAAGTGGTTTCATTTCTTCTTGCGTGACAACTTGATGTAAAAATTTAGTTTCTACATGGTTCAACTGTTTTTAATAGTTGTGTCTACAAAGTTCCCCAATAGTTGACATAATGGGAAAAAATAGAAACTGACCATAAATAATTGATGTCAGGGTAAAAAATAAAAGTCTGTCGTTTATCTCTTATGAGTTTCCACGTTTTTAGCTGCTTGAATTAGTGAACAACTTATACTGAACTAATGCATTAACACAAGGTGCATATCTGAACTTCTTTCGCTTAAGATAACGTGATGGTATATAGCTTACTTGCATTTAGTTGTATTTCGAACACTATTTAATCAAGTTAATAAGCAAATCAATCCAGTTTTTAACAAATATATGTGTATAGATAAATAAGGAACTGGTAGTGAGAACCTAAATAGTATTTTTAAGTTTGGAAAGACATTAACTTCGAGCTATCGATTATTTCCATGTTTATATATTACTTAAGAATAATTGTCTGATTACTGAGCTGAAGCAATCGGTTTTAGTGCTTTTGATATAGTCGTCAATATTGAAGAGGCAGCCGGACCAATCAAACTCATGGATGAATCACTGGCGGACTTCTGTTTATCAACAACACCTGGTTCGGAAATCGTAAAATCTTCACTTCCAAATATGAAAATTTATTCAAGTGTATGTTTCATCATAACTGTAATGCGTTAACCAATCATGGTTAAAAAAATTTACATGATTTCTACATTTGGTATGTAATATTATAGGTTTCAACAAAACACTTTTACCGTTGAGTAGAATTAGCAGGTGATTGCAGTGTCGGTTAGATTTCGCATCTTTGATCCAATATTAAGTCAAGAACACGAAAATCATTGATTATGAATCATTTTTAAAAAAGTCAAGGAAGTGGTATTCCGCTGATGTTCGCAATTTCATTGATCTGATTCAGAACTCCTCCCAAGTGTATACTTCACAGAAGAATGAACAAATGTCAAGGTATCGCAGAAAAAAATGTACATTAAAACGACAAATTTTGAATTGACCAATGCACATTACTAATCTTAGTTATTTGATAGGACGTGATTATTGTAGAGAACATCGATGACATCTGACATAAAGTCCGACTCTATCTATGATGAGTATTCCTCAGAACTTTGTTAAGTCTTCTTACAGTTACTTCTGACTGAAGATATTAATATTATCATTACGTTAATAAGCTAGTAAGGAATGCTCATCTTTAAGTAAGTTTTCATCGTGAACTGCAGTTTTTCTAGGAGTCCCAAGCTAAAATACTGAGGTTATTCAGCGTTTTAACTGGTTCCGCGGTAACTGACGCACAAGGTTTTGGTGTTTACTAGAAAATCACAAGTACCTTAACAGTATTAGTCCTTTACTTACTTTAACCATTATGAACACCAAAAACAGAAACCAATAGCAGTTTTAGCAATCGGCGATGAAAACTGATATCAAAGCTACGTTTCTTTTAAAGAGGTTAGTTTACGATTAACTTTTCAATAGTATTTTTTCGGAAACAAATCAAACGCCTTTATATTTCAGTATTTTTCCATGAATCATGACATAACTTCCAGTAAAAATAGTATCGTTTGTTAAGCCACTGTTAGTTAGTGTTTCGTATGGAAAAATGAGAATATAAACTTTGAAGAAACTATTAAACGATTACTTGAAGTGGTCGTACACTACAGGTAAAATCAAGTTGTTTTTTTATTTGATGAACAGCTTCTAAATGCATGCAAAAGCGCACCTACAGTGAAGATGGAAGAAAAGACTAGTCAATTACTGAAAGTTTACTACTTAGCAATGAGGCGTTCATCTGTTCGAGATCGAAAAACAGCTCCAGCTTCTGCATTACCTACGTTGTGAGTTTGACTTGTACAGTTATCCAAAATGTATGGATAGATAAAGGTCTTTCACTTTTGTTGGATTTGTGAGTGTATTAAGTCAGACGAAATTATCAGTTAGTGGTTTAAAACGTTAGTCTAGTGCTACGAAGCAATCTTGCACGTAAGGGGACTAAAGTAGTACTTTGACAGCCGCATGTCACTAGGTGTCAGAGAAGTTCTATATTGTGGCAAAATCTTCGTGTTTAATCTGACGAGATTATGAACATTTACCTCACAAACTCAGGAAACAAGATCAAATAATTTAAATGGAAGGACAAAAAACCTACTTAAAAACAAGAAATTTGAAAAGCGAACTTTTAATCACCCTGTTTATTCGAATAAATATATGTACTCTTGAGAAAATGTAAACAACTGACAATCATGACAGAACCTCCTAATATTAAATAGAGGTCTAAACAGTTTAGAATGTCATTTGATGACCGACTTCATCTATTGATCCGGTTGCTTGTAATGAATCTGACACTCAGCATTGAATTTTATATTGTTAATCACCATAACTACTAAATTATCCTTCCGTTGTAAATTTATGTCGCATCAAAAACATTGAGCAGCATTTTAGCCAGCGGGAGAATTTGTTGCAATAAAGTCTGGAATAAAGTTAAATTCTCACGAAGATAAGATCGATAAAAGTTAGCTTCATCATTTCAACCTCACACAAAAACATTAAAAAATCTCCCTGTGATTTAATTCTGATAACAAACTTTTTCAATTTAGGTTTAAATTGGCCAAGAGTAACGCTAAAATTAACGGACGCATTGTTGCAAACGAACTTGACGCTATCGTTTCAATTTATATCTACGACACTTTTATTTCGAATCAGACAGGTAAGTGGGTCTGCCAATTAATTTCACACAATAATACTAGGAGCAATAAGTGGAAAAGCATTAAGACTCTAATGAGGCTTTAGATGAACTTTTGTAATTTGCTCTTTTTCACAAGGTTCCTTTCTATGGGGTGGGATTGTTAACCCCATGACCCATACTTCTTTATTCGGGCTTGGGACAGGCAGTAACCTTAACAGGGCTACAGACGAGACTAACAGGCTGGATTCCGCAAGGATCAATCATATACTGAACAAATCGTGGGACTACATATCATTATTTAACAACCAGTTGAAAGGAACTCATCACTATACATCACTTTTCTTGACTAAGAGAAAGCGTTTGACAGCATGAAAGGGGAGTATGGAATGCAGCTAGACTATTTGAACTCTTCAGATGACATAACCCTACTATTGCACACACGGCAACAAGAACAAGTGAAGACACTTGGTGAAGCAGCAACCTCTGTGAAAGAGGGTCTCAATACCTATACGGAGAAAAGCAATATCCCTAAGTACAACACAGTGAGCACTAGTCATATAACACTCGATAGACCCCCCAAAGAACTGGAAAGCTGTGAGCATCATTGATAGAAATGGGGGACCTGATTCAGATGTGAACGAACGGGTTTGCAAAACAAGGGCGGCATTCCTAGCAATCACTCAGTCAGCTACAACGTAGAACTTCGTACGTACATAAGTATATCAGTTCAAGTAGCCATACAACATTAGCCCATAGTAGTAGAAGTATCAGTGATCGAAGATATTATTCGAGAAATATATCTCAGAGGAATTAATTTGGAAAAATAAAAAAATCGGCTACGAGGAATTCTCGAGATTAGAATTTGAGGGAAGACAAAGAATTTATGCATCTACACTATTCCAAACGATTTTGAGCCATGTCATTCAAAGTCCATAAACATCGGTCAATTTCATTTCGCGGACCCCAACCAGGTAGTCTACACCTACTAACAGACTCACTGTTTTGTTCAGCGAATGAGTGACTTTGTGGTATGTTTTTGTTTGGTCACGCGGGGTTGTCTTCCAGACTACTTCTATACTACCAAACAGCCCGACGAGGCAGTCAGAGGTTGTATAATTTATGCAACACATATTCCAGCCACCTCAACTGATGAAGATTCAATATTTCATCTTTTAATCTACTACCAAAGTTAAACAAGAATGGAGATAGGGGACAGCCCTGACGGACAACACTTGAGGTTATCAATTCCGATGACAGTTCGCCATAAGCCCTCACTCGACCAGTGGTGTTCAAGTACAGAGCTTGTATAAGGTTGATGTACTTCACTGATGACAGGCACTGCCACAGAACCTCATGGCTGACGGAATCAGAAATCGCCTTAAGGTCGAAATGTTCTAGGACCTGACGAATTGTATGGATATGGACTATGCATCTATGTCCAAGTCTGAAATCAGCTTAGTTTTTTCGAGCCTGATATTCACGAATTCTAGTTAGGTATCGAAGTATTATGGAGGTTATTATTTTAGACACCATATAAGTTAATCTGACATCACTGAGATTATCACAGGAGAACTTTTGTACTTACTCATAGATTGGTACAATCGGTAATTGAGACATTTAGATGGAGTTTCTCTCAGTTTAAAGATTCTACTTAATATTTAGGTCAATGAAAATGCAAAAGCTGGACCACGATGCTTAATTATCTCAGGGCTTGACCTGCTGCCTTCCCTGGCATCAGGTTTCCAGAAGCTTTTTAACTTTTCGAGACTTGGAGAACTTACATCGACTCGTCATTCAGGTTGACTGGAGATAATGGAGTCGTAATGAATCTAAACATGTGCTCCAGAATGAACGACAGACTTTCATTGAGCCTCTCTATCGATGGCTGGTAGTGATGTGGACTAGTTGGGTGCAGCATTAAGTCCATTTCAGGGATCACCATGTTAGTAATTGCCAGAAACAAGCGCACAGTCTGTCTACTTGTGGATTAAAATCACCAACCACTATTATCAAGTCACAATATTTAAACTTGTTGAAAAAGATTGGGAAGCTTTCCGTAAAAATAACCATTCACCTCATCCGAGCTGCAATCAGTGAGAATGTACGAGAGACAACGGTGAGTGTCCCTATCTCTCCGACTACTAACTGTCCCGTTTAGTCGAACAGCGCACAATCGACTGTCTACTGGGATCCAGTCTAGGAGAGCTAGTTATGATCTCGGACTCAGTGCTATACCTACACCAGCGAGACCACGGGAAGCAACAACAGAGCCTACAGATACACAAAACGTAAATTCAGTTAGTTATTTATCTTGACGAGGTGAGGTAAAATGAATGAATCTATTCGAGTCGTGTATGCACGTTTCGGAGACGCAACACACATTGATGGCAACGGATTCCAGAGTCCTAGCTAATGAAGCCTGGTGCCCCATTCATCACAACGTTCGAACAATTAGAGCTCCAATATGTAATTTGGAACGAGGTTGCAGGAGACCAGGGATAACGTTTCGTGAACTCGAAGCGTTTGCATTAGCAGTACGCGGTGATAAAGGGATGTGAGAAGGGTAAGTATTGGAGATAAGAGAGATGTTAGGGAGTGTAGGAAGGATTGGATTGTGACCAATTCGGTCTCGTGTGCTGTTAAGAGTATGAGGGTGGATATCACTACCGGCTACCCACACAATGGAGCGCTGTTTCTTGAAAAACCTGAAAGCGAAATCGGATAATCATTGATATTGAAAGCCTGAGAGCGTTTCTTCTGTTTCTTGAGGAACCGGAAAAGGAAATTGGTTTAGTGTTAATCTTAGTGACCTAGAAACATGATATCAGCGCTTAAGGGACAAGTGCTTCAGGCCGATTACGTAAGTCTTTTTGTGGGAAGCTTTTAAATGATGATTAAACAAATATATAAAAGAAATGAATGAATATCAATTTTTTCTGTGTTAAAGACTAAGTTATTCTAGAAATAAAATTCTTTCCGCTAAGTTTACCTAAATTATCTGTTTTCTTATTGTCAGATAAACGGTCACGGTTGTAAGATCTTTTATATTTATAATTTTTGTGCTAAATAACCAATTCTATTGAAATTTAAATAGCTACTTCCATTTTATTGTTTCCTTAATCGATATTTTTATTAAATATTTGAACTTATATTATTGAAAATTAAACAGACTTTATTTAGAATCGAATAAAAAATGTTTATACAGCTAAGTACACTTAAAGTAATAACTCCATATCTTCGAATAATATCTGTGATTATAAATACACAACTGTCCTATAGTGTATAAAAAAGTGGGTTCTATGAGGGTTAACTAATAATGGTCCAACTTGCTTTACCAATACCTCTCCCCTTATTAAACGTTTTTAATTGAAAGGAAAATGAAGGTCAAATAAAAAATAGCAATCTCTTATGATAGAAAAATGTCTAGTAGTCCATATACTAAGCACAAGATGAGGAACGCTGAAGTAAACTTTTGAGAAAATATTGTTGGTAAAACTAAGTCGTAATTGGCTTGTGTCTTAAATATTCATTCTTAAAACGTTAAGCATGTTTTGACTAAGTGTCTTCAGAGATCATATAATCTACAGGTGTCATTCTTAAAACTTTAGGTACAAATTATCTTGGGTCAAAATCATTTCATCATATCGCTGGAATGGAACACGAGTCGATGGAAGAACTGAATAACACCTTGGTATCAATAAACAAACAGCTGAAGGACTTAATAAATATTCCTATGGATGAAATGTAACCAAAATAACTGTATGTGGTGGTAGGCTTTTTACTAAAAATCAAAAATATTTAATCAGAGATATTTTAGTGTATATGTTTTATAAGGCTCCACTTGTGAGACATCGATATTAGATCCGTATGGATTTCAGAAGCCATCGTAGATATGCACACAGTAATACCAGAGAACTATGAAATCAGTACCCAAAACCATCAGCTGTAATTCATCTTTTGCTGGTCATAATTCGGCCTATAATCCTTTGGGGGTAACAGGCGTAAGTAAGTGGTAATAATTACGATATTTAGTGAATAAAAATAAAGATGCGAAGCTAAATATTATGAATCAGAAAGTACCATAAAAGACTAGGGACCAATCAACCAAGTGACACAGTACTGCAATAACATAAACTGGTCTTGACAGGAAACTAAATAAACAATAACGTGAAGTATATAATAAAAACTGAAAACGTGATAAATGTGGTTTCACGTTTCCGCAGTGGTTAGATAAACATGCGGGACATTATATCCAACGATTAACCTACGTGTAACATATCCTATTCACTATCATCACTAGATATCTTAAATTTGTATTGTACATTAAAACAAAGGCGATATCTATCTGTTCACACAATAAATTAAGTGAATAACAACGTCCTACTTATAGATTTCTAATAATTTCGAATTCCGATCACATCGCTACGAAGTTGTGAATCATTAACTTTTTGATTACAATCCAGTTTTGCACATGATTTGTGTGGAGGTGCATAAGCGACTAACATTTCAGTCAGTTACAACGTAGAACTTCGTACGTACGTACATCAGTTCCGGCTGCCTTACCGCATTAGCACAGAGATGCAACAGTCAGGTCAAATCCCATAGTGGTAAAGAAAGTGGAAGTATTAAAGGTAACGGAGAGATTAGGGTTCGAAGATATTATGCAAGAAGTATAATCCAGCGAAATAAATTAAAAAAACAAAAAGATAAAAGTGATGAGGAATTCAGAAAATTAGATTGCGAGAACACAAAGAACCGATGCATCTGTGCCATTGTAGACGACCTTGAGCCACGTCATTCGAGGTCTCTCACCATCGATTACTAACATCTCGCGGACACCAACTAAGTAGTACACATATTCTAACGTGACTCAGTCCACCTGTTAGTGACTTCATGGACTTGTGCCATGCTTTAGTCTGGCCGCCCCTAGTTTTCATTCGGCCTACTTCTACACCGTAAAGTATAGCTCGACGAGGCAGTCGGTGGTTAGATATTCGTACCAGACATCCAAACCACCCCAACTGATGAAGTCTCAATACTTCATCTACTGATCTGTCATCCTTACCTAATAAACTTCTTATAACAGCACTCGCCATTCAGAATGACTTGAGATCGTGGGTAACCGAAGTGCGGCTGAAAGACGATTGAACAGCACACTAAAATGGTCTGTCCATCGATCTAATCACCTGGGTTAAGAATCAGTCACAAGCTCATCGTTTTGTGAGACGGTTTTGTTAACAGATGGATTTATAATACCGGTTTCCTTGATTAGGCAAAACAGTTGTCTGCTGTTACCTATCGCCGCTGCCTTCTTCATCGCTTTTGCTTTCACCATAAATCGCTGTTCACGATCATTGCATAAGCATTTTATCAGTCTGCGCCCAAGCTGACTCCGCTCTTCGTCCAGCTCAGAAAAAGGCGGGATGAGTTTCAGTTTCGATGGATGCTACTGAAACCCACGGCTTCTTCCTAACCTTATGGTTTGCGTTGCTAGCAGAGACCATTGCTGTTTGAACAGCTTTTTGAGAACGATTCCAAGCTGCCTCGGGATAGGCATCACTTACTACATGGCTGCCTAACTGTTTTTCTAAATGTTCCTGAAATATATTCTTACCTATGCCATCATTATATAGAACCCTGAGAGGTTTGCTAGCAGCGTCTTCTCTACGTCTAGTAAGCCGCAAACAAATACGCGCTCGCACTAGGGCATAATCTGAATCTAAACATGAGCGACAGTCCTCTATCGAACCACTCCATCGATGGATGATGGTGACGTGATCTAGTTGAGTCCATCATTGAGACGACTTTGGGGGTCGCCAGGTAAACTGATGTTTTTTCTTATGCTCAAACTTAGTGCTTGGTAGAAATACGCGTTTATCTGAGCACAGTTGCTACAGAGGGTCGCCATTATCTGTTCTCTGAGCCACGACACCCTAAAATCCACCTAGGTGCCTTCCCTCTTCACTGAGTCTACCTACTTCAGCACTAAAGTCGCCAGCCATTATTAATATATCAGAGGTACGAAAGCTTATTGTAAAACTTCACCTCATCAGTGGGAGCCTAGGCAGATACGACGAAGAGGCAACGGTGAGTGTCCCTATCTCTCCGACTACTAACTGTCCCGTTTAGTCGAACAGCGCACAATCGACTGTCTACTGGGATCCAGTCTAGGAGAGCTAGTTATGATCTCGGACTCAGTGCTATACCTACACCAGCGAGACCACGGGAAGCAACAACAGAGCCTACAGATACACAAAACGTAAATTCAGTTAGTTATTTATCTTGACGAGGTGAGGTAAAATGAATGAATCTATTCGAGTCGTGTATGCACGTTTCGGAGACGCAACACACATTGATGGCAACGGATTCCAGAGTCCTAGCTAATGAAGCCTGGTGCCCCATTCATCACAACGTTCGAACAATTAGAGCTCCAATATGTAATTTGGAACGAGGTTGCAGGAGACCAGGGATAACGTTTCGTGAACTCGAAGCGTTTGCATTAGCAGTACGCGGTGATAAAGGGATGTGAGAAGGGTAAGTATTGGAGATAAGAGAGATGTTAGGGAGTGTAGGAAGGATTGGATTGTGACCAATTCGGTGTCGTGTGCTGTTAAGAGTATGAGGGTGGATATCACTACCGGCTACCCACACAATGGAGCGCTGTTTCTTGAAAAACCTGAAAGCGAAATCGGATAATCATTGATATTGAAGACCTGAGAGCGTGACGAAATAGCCCAAAGGACAGTTTCTTGAGGCTGGTCCCGCACGGTCTTTTTATGGAACGTTTTAGAAATGTTAGCTCTGCTCTTCAAATGACCTTACTGTCAGAGACGGTAGTCCGTGAGGTAAGGTGAGGTGTGACATTCTTAGGGTCGACCTTTTCTAACCCTTCCTTCTTTGTGAGAAGGCAGCATCGCTGCAGATGTTGGTTGTCCGAGGGAAACACCTTACTGCTGTCACACGCTTCTGCAATCAGCAGTACGTCTTCGCCCTCAGACCTTGAGTAGCTGCTTTCAGTTTTATCGTTCGACCTGCCTGGCATGGTAGAACCTACAGCAACACATGTAACAGCCGATATAGCAGGGTTGGGTCATCACGATAGGCAAGCCCGACCACCAAGACAAGGTAGCAGGTACGTCGGGACTAACACCTAGTTATCTAGATATATCAGTAATTCATCGTGAAAACCTAATACAAAACACTGCACTTCTAGGAACTAAGTCATGAACTTGAGATATGTTTTACATTGATTCTGATACATGAATAACTTTCGTGCTTAACTCAAAGTTAACAAAACGAAAAGTGCTTGATTAATAATTTTAGTCATTATTTTATCAGCAAAGATAGAAAATAACTTACTATGGAGGGGGGTTTTGAGCTCTCATATCTTGAGACTAATAGTCGAAATAAACCGAATTTACGAACGGTTATTATTGTGCAAATACTTTAAGAGTTTAGTTGATGAACCAATTCATTTTATATGGTTTAGTTCCCTAGCCCGAATCAACATCGGCTTAATCAACGTCTTTTGTTTAACACTATGTTTTGCAAAATCTAGAAATCTCTGGATCACACACCACTGCTCTTTATTTGTTAGATTCATATACACATTCTGAATACACTCCAAAAACATAGGATTCACACACCGCCAAAGTAATGTAGATCGAATACGAATAAGCTTTCCTTGAAAGTTCAGTGGCAATTCATTCAAAGCGTTTGTCTGCCATCAGACTTTTTTAGACAGTGTATTTCTAATTAATCAGGTAATATATTTAACCTTTACCTAATGGATATGCTTCACAGTCTAGTGAATAGGATTATAAATTTATATGATGAGAATTTTTTAGCAGTTATGGAGAACTTCCTGACATACTCAAGTTATCTAATCAGTTGCAGGTTTTATGAATAGTTTAGTGAAATAAAACATATATGAACAACGATTGATGATTTGTGGCAAGTGGTTAGTTAAATGAAACAGGTAATTAAATCAGAAAATTTTACAGAGATGAGTTTTTTCCTAATATCATTATTAAATGGTTAGTTTACGAAATATTTTAAGCTCAGAGCTCCGACTCGACTTATTACTTATCCATACTATTATGAAGTTTAGGCTTTTCTGATCTGTAACATTAGCGTGAACGATTGTAGTCATATATTTACTCAAACGTCAAATACATTTGCTGAGACGCTCTAATTCAGCTTTGTCCCTACACAAAAATAGAATGCATACTTTTTTAACGTTTATGAAGTAATAGAGTTGAAATCTATCAGCAAAAAATACAAGGCAATTTTACAGATTTTAGTATGTTTGCGATTATTTTCAATAGTAGTAACTATTAACACGATTCAAAGCCAAAGCATTTAATGCTGAAGGTAAGAGATCATTAAGATAGGATTAAGTCTTTTATTGTACACTCATAGAAAATAAATTTATTGACCGTAGTAATTTTTTTACACCCTTAAAAAATATCAGGTTTTTTCTCCACTTGTTTTAGATATGATAATGGAAAGAGAAAATAATTATTTCATTACTTATCTCACAAAACAAGCAGTAGCTTTAGGAATAACGTAGAAGTCCAAAGCACTTGGATATTGTTTTCAATAAATTGAAGTGGAATAATGATGCCAAAGTACATATTTTCACATATTGCTTTCTTCAAACGTCGCGACCTTTAATTTACTAGTGGAATTCAACAAATCTTCAATATAATTCTCCCTTTCAACAGGATGACCACGCGCGTATTCGAATTCTGTATGACAGTGAAATGTGCTTCCCATCAAAAAAGCACTTACCTCTAAGAGCAACTTTTGGATCCATTTTCATAAAATCAATAAGATATCTTGACACCAATAGGTTGAATAGTAGTAGACATTACCTGCAAATGAAGTAACCCGTTCGGTTTACACCATGTGTGCAGTGTACAGCAATTATACCATCTAAAAATACAAAAGTTGAAACGTGAAAATATATTTCTAAACTAGATTGGGAGGCAGTAGATAAATAACGGAAATCACAGGCGATGTTCTGTCTAAGAGGAGTAATTTTAAATATATGGAGTGACAGGAGTAGGTTTTCAAACTACGATTACTTGAACATCATAGTACAAATATGGAGCGAAACTATACCAGACTAATAGATCGGAAAAGCAGCTATATAAGAACTTCGCTCGTTGAAAATGTACGCTCCCTAAAGATTAGTGATCTAGAGGACGATTCAGGTGCGAATTCACGGGACAGATAGTTATTAATGAAACTCTGGATATACTTGAAATGATTGACTGCCAGATATCTATACAATAAACACCTGAGACGAAGCTGAATTAACGAGCAACCTGATTATCAGGAAAATTCTATTACCTCGATAATTTAAAAATGAGAGTCGCTGAGATTATACAAAGCCCCGAATACTGAACATATTGGTGGTAGTATAAACTGAGAATGAAAACAAGTATTGAAAGAGAAAATCCTAGCTATGGTTTTCACAAAAAATATGCATTACATAAATAACACCATATTGGTAAGATTGAAATTTTACGAAAATTCAGTTAGTATGTTAGTAAAAACAAGGTGAATTAATCGTGCTTCAGGTATCATAAAAATATAGTGAACGCGAGACATTTCGATACGTCTGAGAATTGATAATTGATCATAATTTTGATGAAGATGAAAAACAAAATATTAGGCAATTTAAGGTACGAAATGAGGAAAAATGTCTTAAAAGCTACTAGTGTTGAAGGGTGAAAAAAACATTAAGAAGATATAAGCGTTATTTATATTAGAAAACTGGATTAGAATAAGATATAATGTAAAACTGTCAGGTTATTTCAAAACATGAAAACAAGTCACGGGAGGCACAGTGCACTTGCGATTGAATTTAAGGATAATGGCATTCATTGAGAGCCTAATATATTACAAAAAACAACAATATGAATTCGCATAAACAGATCACGGCTAACCTGGGGATTGTTTACGTTCTTCGTTAACCAGATTAATGAATCTATAAAAGTATTGGATTTGAACTTCATAAAAACTTGCTGTGCAACACTTTTTGAGTCTGGGATTTTATGACCTTCCACATATATTTTATGGTAACTTATATTATTTTCATGGAGAAACTAAGGAGATAAATAGCGAGGAAAGTTACCTTTGTGGAATAGTACTTTGTATATGTCAAATCTATGACACACGTCAACTTTTGGTTGCATGATTGAACACATCCAATAAGGTCACTTAGCGTAAATCTACATAATAATTACTAAACCATGTTCGGTCTTACCTTAAATGGGGAGGAATATTATATGACTTTTCCGACGGTATCGGCAGTTTTGTCGGAAGGAAACGTGTACCTTTAACAGGAACACCCAGTGGGGTATAATCAAACCACCTGAAAAAGATTATCATCAAGTGAGTTATCGTTCAGAAATAAATTATAAACCAATCAGTCTGACGATTTATATATTTAGGAAAAGTTTTTTGAAAAACAATAATTAAGATATCACGTTAGGCTTTTAATCAAATTACTAAACAGACTAAATAGTAGTACTTATTTGAAAGTACAATCAATACCACAAAGAGAATAGAACTACCGATCAGGTGGGTAACGCGGCATTCGATTTAACAGAAGCTAAGGTCATCTTTAAACCCACAGCTATTTCCAATATCCAATACCTTTTTCATGAACTAGTATAAACAGATTGATTTGTTTTCCCTTGGTTCCTGTTCTTTAGGTGCGGTTACAGATGTCTGGTAGATTCCAATGGATGGTAGTATAGCCATTCGACTGAACTGATTCTAGTCAGTTGGCAGTTGTTTGTGAGTTATCATGTCCCGTGATTTCAGTGAACAGGCTTATTTCAGTGAAGAGTTGGATTAGCCTCGGCTGCCTCCCCTATATAGTTCGAAATGGTATGGATGCTTTCAGTGGTTATAAAACAGAGATTGCTCTCTAAGGCGACATTAGGGAGTGGACTTCCATCTAGGGTGTAAGTCGTTTATATCACATGAAACAGAATGCACGTAAAGTGACATATTGACTAGTTTAGTTTCATAGCGTTTTTCACTGCCCATTCATCAATCATTGTAATGCCCTTCTAAAGCTCGTTCAAACCCTCTTCGCTTCCACTGGACCTCCAGATCTTCGCATTTTCTGCGTTGATAAATTTCGCCAAGCCAACTTCGTCTGACAGATCGATGAAGAGTGTCAAGGTACCTAGGGCGTTCCACCTAATACTCTCCATGCTGAGAAGCGCCATCTCGCATGCACTCTTTTTATCGTGGTGCGAATCTTGCTATTTTCAAAGCTGTTTCTGAGCCGAGATAGGAATTAGTCAGTGAAGCTCATTTTCGAATACCTCGCAATTAAGAGTGCGTGAGGTACTGTGTCAAAGTCTTCAACAAAGTCACGAAATATTATGTGCACCAGTATTTTTCGGTTCCAGTAGGATGTTCAACAGTCCCATGCTATGAGATTAGATGCGCACGACTTGCCTTTCGGAATCCCATGCTGAACTTCATGGAGTATTTTATTCTTATCCACGTACACCTCGTCTGTTCGTTCACCAGCCCTTTCATCACCTTTGATAGTATCGGTAGTGATGAGAATGGTCTGTGACAGGCTGTATCTTACCTCAATTCTCCTATGAAGGTTGGAGAGAGAGTAAATTGTTTTCATTGAGCTGGGATTCGGAGTGACTCTATTGCATGCCTGAACAGGTCACATATCGATGAACTGAGGGCTTCTATATATTGTTTCAAGATTATCACATCCTCGTGACTTTTCGGTACACAGGGATTTTAATTTTCTCAGTTCTAAGTCTGGAGTAATTGAGATATTTTTGCAACCCCATAGCATAAACCGAATTGAATCCTTTCACTTACCCTACAAAAACACGAGTGGGTTGGAGTCATCGGGTTTTAGTGGTGAGCGAGTCAAGGTTGACTATGATCACCACTAAATACTCATTACTATCCCATCACAAATTATAGAAATAAATCCATGGTCAAATATTTATTTGAAGGAAAAAGTAGGCGTTACATCTAGCTGCAAGTTATGAAAAATGCTAGCGACGCGTAAAAGAATTTTGCGCGCAAGTAAGTGTTTTCGGTACAGTAGAAAATGTTTATTTTTCACCAATCGAGTTTTCTCCATAGAGCGTTCCACTACAGCAGCCATCATCTAGAAAGGGTCCGCGCTTTCGATACGTAGTGGCTTCGTGCGGTGGGGGCTGGTCGGCCAACGTGCGATTGTAGTGTCGAAGGGTTGACGAACAGGGAGAGCCCAATGAACCTCGAGTTCTCACCGGGAGTCTTCTCGTTGAACTGTACCGGTAATAAAGTACCACATTTGTTGCCCCGTTTGGCGTGCCACACTAGCGTGGCTCGTATCCAGAGTCTGAAGATTGCGTTGGTACGAGTTCGGACTAATAAATGCTGCAGATGTAAGACGGAACCAGATTGAGCGAAGGGGCCAGGAACTATCAGAACGAGCAAGTTCGAAAACATACGTATTCCAGATATATTTGGAACCAGAACATATACTGAGTGCATCGACAAAAGCGTGGGTGATCAAGGCCAGTTTTCGTCAGTGGTGACTCAAGTCGACGATTAAAACAGGCCGATGGTCGTAAACATGGGCTCAGGACACAAAATAAAGGAAGGAAAATGCATGTCGTACGAGGATAATATCCTATGCCGTATCCGTTGTTGTTTAGGATATTAGTCACGAAAGCGTACAGGTAGGCGTACGCGGCGGAACGCGAGACGGTAGTCGTGTGCGTACCTCGTGAGCCTAAATTCTCATCCGAAGTCAAGGGCTGAGTGATCAGTTTATATGGACGTGAGGCTTGAGTCTCATCCGTAGATGGTGTTGATGGTGCGTGCTGTTGACTGAGCCGTGAAAATGAGGTCTCTGATGCATCTAGCGTGGGACCCAAAGGAGAAATAAGAATCGCGCTAGTGAGTTGAACGAGTCCAGCATTGAATCTAGTTTTATAGGGTAGGTAACTATCATTGACGTGGCTGGTTTGAGATTATCAATGCTGACTGCTTCCATCAACCTTGAAGGTCTTTTCGTGACGATAGATTACGTGAAAATATCCTTCGCAAGGCTGTTGCAAAGGTTTGCGTAACGAATCTACTCGAATAAAAACGTTTGAACAATAAATAACTCTCGGAGATAGTGAACTGTTGAAGTTATATTTTAGTTCACACCGTAGCCAGTGTTCGCATCTACTCAGGGAGTCGTTGGACTTTATCTAGTATACATAAAATCACTGCTCCATGGTGTGAAAAATTCCGCAGGCAGATACAATGTCGTGCCGTATACAAGTTTGGAGGAGGAACATCGGATATCTGCCGTTGCTGCTCTGTAATCGCTGCGTGATCTCCAATTAGTGCCATTTTTTTCTGAACGGAGTGGAGAGAGGGGGCTCAAGGGCTGTGAGAAAGACGACGTAATACATATAGCAAGTAAACTGTCAAACTCACGCTTAGCGAAAACGAACCTGTCCAGTGCCAGTCGGCGAGGTTTTGACGTGACTGCGGGTCCGCAGGTGTCGACGTGCCTTACCACATAATTAATCACCGATAGAATCTCCTCGGTTTAGCTACTTTTAGGAATTTGTCAAATATAACATAAAATAAACAATAATGCAAAAAATATATATTGGTGATTCGGTACATATCTGTTTGCGCGTGACAGCCCATGTATTCGATATCGGACGAAGTATCGATTAACTGCAGTCAACGTGAATAGAATAACAATTAATAGAGCTGTAAGGAATCGAGATCGAGTACGGCTATGTGAGCATCAGCAGAGATGAACATATACAGGCGTTGTGGTCTATTATTTAGGTTAATCGTTAGCTGTCGTGTACCGTAGGTAGGAATGACAGAGTCATTCGCAGCGCGTGGTCGAAGCATCGTAGCTTATTACTTACTGCTATCAACTTGGGCACTTGCGGCCACCAAGTACCTAGCGTTAGTGCAAAATTCGAGTACGTAAAATAAACTAACAACCTGAAGTGACAGGGAGGAAACAGGTGAGATTGCAATGACCTGCACTTCGGAATCTATTATTATAGCTATCTACCATTTCGAAACGTTGTTGCAAGTATAATATATATTAAAGACATTATTATTAGTATTGCAACATTATAAAAATGGTGATAGATGAATAATAGACTCACCGTAATTGACTTCTTTTGAAGAAACGTCGGCTCACCAATTGTAGTGAGCGAGTCAAGATATCAGATTGACTATGCTCACCACTAAATGTTCCATAATATCCCGTCATTTAAATCAAAATAAATCCATGGTCCAAGGTTTTATTGAAGGAGAGAGTAGGCATTACATGGGGAGCAGCGCATTTAGAAAAATGGCAGCAACGCGAAGAGAACGTTGCGCGCAAGAAGTGGAAGAAGTGTTTTTGGTACAGTTAAACAAAACGAGTACAATAATGTTTATTTTTCACCGATCCCCTTCTCTTCTTAGAAGCGTTGCACTACACTTGTTAACCTGGAGGCACTGGACGGCCGTTTTGTCCCAGCGTAGCGTTAATCAGCCATGCGCATCCACGACCCTTACTTGCGGGAAGTGAACCCAGGACGTTCGGTCTCACACGCGAACGCCTTACCTCTAGATCACTGAGAAGGCACCTGACGGTGTTAATTTTCAACTTTGATCAATCTAAGATATTTCTCAACCTCACTCATCGTCTTGGATAGCTACTTCCCACACTTGATATGGTTGAACTCTACCGGTCACTGTTTCTCACTGAACTCCGAAAATTCACTCTCGAAGCTAGTCACTAATGAGCAGGTTTTTATAATTCTTCACAATAGAGTTATGAAGACGACTGGATTTCATTGAAGTTATGAATCGACCACTGTAACAGTCAAGTTTTAGGATGAAACGACCATCAGATGCTTTCAGGTTTCAAATGGTTTTTCAGCAATAATCGATACATGACTTCAATATCGCAATATTTCCTAACATGAGCATTCGACTGGCATATATTTGGGATTGTTTGCAACTGTTGACACTTCGATTGTGTAGCTCACATATTATGAGGCATTTTCATCATGACTGTCATCGCTAGTTTTTCCCCCGAACGTGTTTTTAAATTTTGCAGCCTCAAGATAGATGGACTAATTCTTCTGACGAAGAACTCCCGGGTTTTATTCGATGATTTATTAACGCTGATCAGTAAGTTATAACATCCAAAAATTAGAAGTTTATGACTAGTACTTTTCATTACTGGACACTCAATAATTTTTATTACAGTAACGGAATTTAATGATTGCAACATTTTGACGGAAAGGACAGATTTGTTACGACCAGTATGAACGATAAAATCATAAAAGCAACCATAAATTAAGTAGAATCATTTTCCGGCATGAAGTGAATCGCTGCTAGTTGTAAACAAGTATAGCACGGAATTGATGGCACCAAAAAACTAGTAACATTCTTATAAAAGTATCAATCATCACTAGCGGCGAAGTGCGCAATAGATCTACACGCAGATTGATATGTCGGATTTTACAACACTTAATTTATTTGGCAAAACAAAATATACCAGAGTAATGACAGTTTTGTCACACGACCGACA